CTACGATGCTGGAATATGTTTGTTTGTGAGAAAAAGAGTGGTGGATATTCATATCATTTTTTGAGTACGTGGTTGGAGAGAAGACCTTACAAGGGAGAAAATATATGTGTGGGGTACGTAAAATCTCAAAACCAACTTTTCATCCTGCATTAATTGTGGGATAATAACATTGCTATCCACCATCCCAACCAAAATGATCGCATATGAAGGTGGAACCCAAGTGAAGTTCAATTTTATAGGAATTTTTAAAAAAAATATAACATTGCTATCCACCATCCCAACCAAAATGATCGCATATGAAGGTGGAACCCAAGTGAAGTTCAATTTTATAGGAATTTATTTTTTTTTAAAAAAATAAAGAACACCAATCCAAAAACTCTAGTTGATTGAATATGAAAAAAAATTCTAGAATGGGTGTTGAGAAGGAGAAAAACTCAATTGCAACAGGGATAACACTGTTTTGCTATTCCCGGTCAATAATGCTATGACATGTGGAAGTATTATCACGTATGTCATAACATTATTGGTCGGGGATAGCAAAATAGTGCTATCCTCATTTCAGAAAGTCTTTCTCATTGAGAAGGGACATAAATAGGGGCGGAGCCACACTGGTACCAATGTGGTCCCAAGCCCCACTCAAGTTTTTTTATATTTTAAAAGTAATATGCTGTTATGTATTTCTATATGTATATTATTTCAAATACTTTACGTTTTGATATGTACCCACATGTGTTGTGGCGGACTTATTAAGGCACAAGTAGGTGCTTCAAACTGCCCATTTGCTCAGCTGGTGGTGGTTCCAAGTGTACAGATTATCTTATTTCCATTTTCAGCATTTAAGTAAGTGTCTTTGTCCTCTTACTTTCATTTATTTTTATATTACTCCATTTTCTTCAATTTACAATGTAAATAAGGAAGTACCCTATATTTGGATTCAAATAAAAATACTAGAAAATCAAATTCCCACCAAATCAAAATATGAAAAAACAGTTTTAGTGCAAAATACGATTTAGGCTAAAAATGATGGCTCATTAAGCCAATATATACTTCATACTAAAATCCCATAAAATCAAGTTTTCTTATTTGATGTGTAAGGAATAAAAGCCGCCAAAAATTATCTTGAGAAAATGATTATTCTGAAAAACCATTTTTCATAGTCAATATTTTTACATAAAACATTTTTTCATGTATAATATGAATGCATGAAAGGACCTAAGGTTTTTTTTAGTTTGTGAAATTTTGATTTTTTTCTTTCTATTGGGTTTAAGGGGAAGGGGCCGGGGGGGACTTTAAAGATATTTGCTAAATTGCTACTCTTTGTCTATCTCTTGCAATTTTTCTTGTTCAGAATGTATTTGTCTATCCCTTTGTCGAGGAAAATTATGATTGCAACCGATAAGCAATATAATTATTGACATATGTGATACATATACTATTTTTCGTATGTATTATGAGTTTGAATTTTTGATTCTTTATAACTTGTAAGAGGCCGCCACACACATGAAATTATGGCTTGACATAAATGTGAGTTTAGGGTTTTTTCCTCCCTTTTTTAACTAATTAATATTGGGAAAATGAGAAGGTTAAAACAAAAAACCAAAAAGGGTGTGTGAGTTGACCTATTTCTCTCCAACTTTTTGTGGTCGGATGAATAATATGAATCTCAAATTATTTAGGCAAGTTCGTACAAGAACCGACAAGTATTGCACGCATTTTATTGTAAATTTGTGTACAAAATTAGTAGGGTCGCATGACCAACAAAAAAGGTATGGTCAATGCACAAAATTGTAAATTTTGGGTTTGTTAAGTTTAAGTAAGAGATGAAATGACTTAAGGAATGACTGACACCAAAGTTGCCATGTATATTTAAACCTAATTTGAAATTTTGTCAATATTATTCTCTTTTCTGATTTTTTTTTTTTTTTTTTTTCCAACGAAATAAGTTATTTACATTATTAATCTGTTAATTGTGAAAGGTAAGGCACTCATGCTATAAATGTCATGGGGACCTATAAAAGATTTTACTTTCCCTACAAAATCAGGTACATGTCCCACCATGATGGCACTGGATAGCATATTGATATCCTCTATGTTCTATAACCAACCTTTCATGATCCCCTCCTAGCGGCTACCAAAAAAAAAATAAAAAAAAAAAAAAAAAAAAAAAAAGGAGTTTTTTTTTTTTTTTTTTTGTCGAAAAAAAAGAGAGAGAGTTTATAGCCAACATCAACCACATTTTTGTCTTTACACAAGTGAGCCCCCCTCGTAAAATTTCATGTATTTGGGCATTCTTTTAAGTAAATAGTAAAACCAAAGGCAAGATACAAACTACTTTTTTTATATAAAAAAATTTAATACAAGTGATATTTGGAAAGGGAGGAATCAAATCTAAGACTTCAAATGCTTGTGTAAATACAAAATCTTCTTATACTAAAGTAAGAACTGTAAACACTTTTATAATAAATAAGGAACATCTTAACTTCTTGTTAGAAAAACATTGTAAGCAAAGAGTGAAACCTCGTTATGCCAAATATATTTGTTCGTATTGAAGAATGTAGAGTATCTTATTGGAAATTTGACAAAGTAAAATATTATATATAAGTGAGTAATTTTATTAGAAAGGTTTAATTACACCAATGCCTTCTGAAACTTCGGTCAAATCTCACTTTGCCCTCTCAAACTCAAAATGGCCCACTTTCACTCATTGACCGAGGTTTGGTGATCCACTTTGTCCCTTGTTGTCAACTCTATCAAAAAGTCTATTAACTTTGATAACATGACAAAGGTATTTTTGTAATTTCGTGCACATGGATCATTATCTATCAATTGGGTGAGTGAAGTGGCAAGTGGACCCACCTCTACATAGAAAAAAATATAATTAAATATTCTATTAATTAAAAATAACTAAAAATTAAATTAAATCAAAAATATATATATTCAAATAATTAAAACCCCTCCCCAGCCCCAATCACTCCCCCAACAGCCCCAATCCTCCCCC